GTTACACACTGTCCAGATACTGTTCCCAATTTCCCGCCACTCTTCGGTGGACATCCAGGGAAACCTTTGCGTCCTGCTTCAGAGGCTCTGTAAACTGCCACAGGATTTCAGTTTGGCATTCACCTTTACCGCCCGGCCCGCCTGGGTGGAGTTTTTAGGGTCCTTCTCTTCCTGCATTTTTTTTCTCTTTCAACTGGCAAATTTGCTCGTGCAGGTTGGTTTGTTTTTGTTTTAATGCAGCATTGAGGAAATCCAGCCAGTTCTCTGTTTCAGGACCTGGTTGGCTTTCCCCTCTTTGTTGGGTAACGTCAGAGTTTTCCGTGTGTCTCGTATCCTACGTTACAAGCGCCTGGCGCGTTCTTCAGAAGTCAGATCAGTTTGAGGTATGGAGCGGGTTGTATTTGAATTCATGTCTCGATGATGAGGTGTGTGGAAGGGGAATTATTGGGTGGGAGCTCTGTCCAACCCAGACCCTTATGCTCAGGAATTAGAAAAAGCTGCTAAATCCAACCTGGTAACTGCATCTGTCTAGCTGGACTTTTTTTAAAAACTGATTCCCCCTCCTCCACTGGGCCTTTGCTTCCAGAGATGGCTTCCGTCTCCTTTCCACTGGAGGAACCGGGCGCTCGGAAATCAGACTAGACTTGCAATGGTGTCTTTGCTGGTCCATAAAAGTTGCTGGTTGTGTCTTGTGTGCGCTGTTTCATTGTGTCGACTGCACTAATAAACTGCCTTTTCTTGACTCTCCAATCCTTCATTCCGCTCCCCGGGCGCTCTCTCCTGCATGGACACGCTGCAAAAACCGCTTCTGCTTTTCCGTGACCTTTCCTTGCCCACTGCCTGCAGTTCGCACCTTGCTATGTCCTCTCTACCGCTGGGAATGCCCCATATCAATGAGCCGAAGAGCTAGTTCTCTATGCAAGTCCCTTGTTCGGCTGCTGACTAGAAACCGGTAACTGCTGGAGCTCTCCCAGCGCGAGAGAGAATCCCAGAAACTACCCTGGGGTGTGGGGGGAGCGTAACAGGGTGGGCCTGGCCCGCGCGTGCACGGAATGGCACAGA